ACCTCAAACTCCTACTGTTCTTCACCATTTTCCTTTGTATGGACTGATGAAGCCACTGTGTGGCGAAACGTTTCCTCATTAAAGATACCCAAATGTTGCACATGTGTCTAATTTAGCAACTTGTTGGTTCTCTAAACCATTCATCTACATTACTAAGCATATATATACACACACCCCTCTGGGTTTTCTTCTATTTTCTTACTAGTTTTGGATTACCAAAACTGTTGTCCAGAGGGCTGAGGAAGGGTTGTTGAGGTGGTTCGGACATGTAGAGAGAATGGAGCGAAACAGAATGACTTCAAGAGTGTATCAGTCTGTAGTGGAAGGAAGGCGGGGTAGGGGTCGGCCTAGGAAGGGTTGGAGGGAGGGGGTAAAGGAGGTTTTGTGTGCGAGGGGCTTGGACTTCCAGCAGGCATGCGTGAGCGTGTTTGATAGGAGTGAATGGAGACAAATGGTTTTTAATACTTGACGTGCTGTTGGAGTGTGAGCAAAGTAACATTTATGAAGGGATTCAGGGAAACCGGCAGGCCGGACTTGAGTCCTGGAGATGGGAAGTACAGTGCCTGCACTCTGAAGGAGGGGTGTTAATGTTGCAGTTTAAAAACTGTAGTGTAAAGCACCCTTCTGGCAAGACAGTGATGGAGTGAATGATGGTGAAAGTTTTTCTTTTTCGGGCCACCCTGCCTTGGTGGGAATCGGCCAGTGTGATAATAAAAAAAAAAAAAAAAAAAAAAATTCTTGTTCTTGTGTATTTCCTCTTATCTCCATGGGGAAGTGGAACAGAATCTTCCTCCACAAGCCATGCGTGTCGTAAAAGGCAACTAAAAGGCCGAGAGCAAGGGGCTAGTAACCCCTTCTCCTGCATGCATTACTAATGTTACAAAGAGAAGCTCTTGTTTTTCTTTTTGGGCCACTCTGCTTCATTGGGATATGGCCGGTTTGTTGAAAAAAGAAGAAGTGAGGAGTTTCTGTATACAGTGGTCCCTCGCTTTTCGTAGTTCTCGGCAATCGTAAATTTCGCCAATCATAGGGGTATTTTCGTATAAACATGGACTCGCTTTTCATAGGTTGACTCGCAAATAGTAGTTCGTCCGGGACGCGAATGCACGGTGTAAGCTGGGGAGGCCTCCCTACCCAGCCAGTCTGGCATTGTTTACCAGTGAGTGAAGGTCCCCTCAAGTGCTCCTACGAAATATTTCATAATATTCCACTCATTTTAGTGCTTGCAAGTACTAAATAAGCTACCATGGCTCCAAAGAAAGCTCCTAGTGCCAAGCCTGTGGTAAAGAAGGTGAGAAATATGTACAGTGACAAAGTCTTGGGCCATTTTAGGGAAGTGTTAAAGAGATGCCAGAAACAGAGCTCTCTCCACAGTTACTTTGCGAGACAGGACTAGAGTGACTCTCAAGGTGGTCCTAGTGACATTAAGAAACAGAGAAGAGAAGCAACCCCAGAGAAGCAATTGGTACCTGAGGTGTTGCTGGAAGGGGATTCCCCTTCCAAACTGTAAACAATCCAATCTCTCTCCTCCTCCAGTCTCCCATACACTAAGAAGAATCTCCAATAAAGGTAAGTGTTATGCTGTTAATGTTTCATTCATCATTTCCCATTGTACAGTGGACCCCCGCATAGCGACTTTAATCCATGCAAGAGGGCTGATTGTTATGCGAAATGATCGGTATGCGAATGAATTTTCCCCAAAAGAAATAATGGAAATCAAATTAATCCGTGCAAGACACCCAAAAGTATGAAAAAATTTTTTTTACCACATGAAATATACATTTTCCTACACACAAAGAGAAGGGTACATGCACAGTAGTAGAGTAGTACATGCACAATATATATTGTGCATGTAGTACTCTACTAAATGAAGAATAAATGACACTTACCTTTATTGAAGATGCAGCAATGACTGATGAGACACTGTGTCCTGGGAGTGCCTTTTCATCCTGAGTACTGTAGGTCCTGTTTGGCATTTTCTTCCAGAACAGGCCTTATCACACTGTGTATGCCACTACGATTCTTAACCCTTTGAGGGTCGACAGGCCCTCTCCGAAACTCGTTTCGGGGTGGGCCCAAATTTAAAAAAAAAAAAAAATTATTTTCTCTTTAAAAAATTAAAAAATTTTTCCCGATCATAACGACACCAAAGTTTGAAATTTGTAGAAAATTTCGGAATTATGCTGTCGAAAATTTAGGGTCTCGGGTTTTTAGTCGGGATTTTGCCCACTTGAGCCCCTTTTTCGGCCAATTTCATGTCTAGTCGAAAAAAAAACATGATATTTCGCAAAAACTCCTTTTTTTTCTATCGAATGGGTGCAAGAAAACCCCCCATTTAAAAAATTTCAATTCCAGTACAGTGGTCAAAATTTTGAAAATTTTGCCAATTTCCCACAAAATTTAAAAAGATGCCAATTTCCGAATGGGGGCCCAGAATAAAAAGAAAGACTTTCCGGCACTAAAATGACTTTCCCTGTGTTAGTCCGTCTCAGGCCCTCATATATTCTTTTGCTTTCCCTTTGAATTTTTATTCTCAAAAAAAATATAAGTTTTAAGTTAGCAGCTATTGATTAGTGTAAAAAATGGTATAAATTTTATTGGTGCACTTGTGAAAAATATTGACTCCCATTGACGTGTATTGCACATTGGGCCGTTTTTGTTTTTTTTGAAGTTTGGTAAAAAGAAAATTTTTGCTTTTTGAGCTAAATTTTCAAGCACCTTCATTGTAAAAACCAGTCAAATCATCTCAATTTCGTAATTGTCTTCCCATTCTATAAATGAGCCCAAGAAAAACTAGAATACAACAAAAAATACCTTCGAAAATACACTGCAAAGTCGCTGTTTATTAAAAAAAATGGTCAAAGTTTTTTTTTTTCTTTTGAACTGGTGTGCAGGTTTTTTTTTTTGGCTGGCACCCGACCACATAGCCCCTTCTTTCATTGAAGGCCTACCGTTTCTCCCACTAGATTTGAGGCCCCTAGAATTTTTGGTCTAGTACGTCAAAAACCCCTACGCGTAAGGGTTTTGTAGACGAAAACCCCCAAAGGGTTTTAAAACTTAAACCAACCTTTTTGGCTTTAAACACCAAAAAGAGCACTGTTCCCGGCATTTTTCCCTGTTCACCCGGGTGTTAGCGATGGTGTGGGTTGCATCCCGGGAGACAAGATTTAAAGGGCCCCCAAAGGAATAAGTTAGACGCTTCGTGTTTCTGCTTTTTTGGGTTTCCTGGGTGGCAAATCCCCTTGGGGGTTTAAATTTTTTCTTGGGATTTTCAAAAGACCCAACACGGGCTTTTCGCAGAGCGCAGCAGTGAAGTGTACGCAGAGCAGCGATGCTACAGCGCAGCAGATGTTTCTACGCAGCAGCACAGTGACAGTGCTACGCACAGCGACGATGCTACACGAGCAGAGATGCTACAGCAGCAGCAGATGGTACTACAGCAGAGCAGTGGTACTAAAGCAGCAGAGGTACTAAGCAGCAGCAGCAGCAGTGACAGTGGTACAAAGCAGCAGCGCTGACAGTGCTAAGCAGCAGCAGACGATCTACAGCAGCGGCCCGGTACTACGCAGCAGCAGACAGTCTAAGCAGCGCAGCAGCAGTGGGTGGGAAAAAGCAGCAGCAGTGTAACCAAAGTAGGATGGGTTGTTGGGGTTTTTATACAAACCGGCCAGCCGGGGGGGACCCACTCCCCTTTCATATTTTCAAGATCTTTTTTTTCATCTCTTAGAAATTCTCCCCTTATTGCTGTAGGGTTGGCCTAGAAGCTTTCTTGGGGCCCATGGTCACTTATTTTGCAGATAAAATCACCAAAAACACTGTAATAATACGAAATGTTCCGATTGTATGCTTGGATGTTACCGCGGAGGCTGGCTGGTAAACAATGCCACCGGCGGCACATGTGAGGCTGGCTAAGGGCGCACATGGGACGCGTCTCGGACGAAGAGCGGTGAGCGGGTTTTTGAGCGGTATGTGAGGCAAAATTTTTGCGATAAAAGCGAGCGGTATGCGGATTGAACATTATGTGATGCATACAGTATGCGGGGGTCCACTGTATTGTTTATGTACTACATGTATATTTCATGTAAAAAATTTTTTTGTTTTAATACTTCTGGGTGTCAGGAACGGATTAATTGTATTTACATTATTTCTTATGGGGAAAATTGATTCGCAAATCGTAAATTTCGTTTATAGAAGCTCCTCCAGGAACGGATTAATTACGAAAAACGAGGGACCACTGTATTTGGTAAAATTTGGTAAGGAAATGTTCCTTTATATTTATGATTGTTTCATATATACAGAGGGCCCCGCTTATACAGCAGGTTAGGTTCCGGGCTACTGCTGTAAATTGAAAAATCACTGTAAGGTGAAACTTAGCCTTTTTTCACTTTCAAATGCATATGAAAGCCTGATAACATGTTTACACTACCATATATTAAGTGAGTAATAGAGCTAGGCTTGAAAAAATACATATACATGTACAATACACACATTACTTACCTTAAAATGTTTTCATACTTAGCTTATAGTGATTGATGAATATATTGTATGTAGCCTGAATAAATGAGGATTGGTTATAACTGAAAACTGCAGTATTAACAAAATGCTGTAAAGCAAAGCACTGTAAAACAGGGGCCCTCCTATACTTAATGTTGAGTTCATAAGCTTTTCTACATTGAACTCAGCCCAGCAAGGTCACATTAACCCTCTCCATGCACTTCCATGTCAACAGCCAGTGTGTTGGTGTGTAAGGCAAGATAAATTTATTATTTTTGATGTATTAGAATATTTTAAAATGTTGTTTGCATTTTTGAGGATCTAACGAACATACCCCTATTTGTCCCACATGTTCTTCACTGTACGTTATGTACATTTCTTTTAATACCATCACAGTTTTTAGAACTGTGACCCAGATTATAAGAGGGTGTACTTAAGTCATTTATAATTCTCAGTTTTATAAAAAAAAAAACTGAAAGAAAATATAACTCTCTCTATTTTTGCAGTCACTTGTCATATGAGATGGAAGGCACGAAAGGCCTTAGGCTCAAGTTTTATCTGAAAGGGCACCGGAGGACGGCAACAGCCAACGTTGATGCTCGGGAAGTTAGTACAATACTGTACTGTATGTTTAATGCTCACTTTAATAATACTGAATACATTGTTAGAAATGTTACATTAAGAAGAGTAAGATGGAGAAGCTATTTTTTCAATTCTTAATCACGTGAGGGTCTGTGCCATTGTTCTATGGATTTGAAGCCTGGGTCTGTACCGTCGTTCTATGGCATGTGCTCAGCTCACTTAGATAAGCTGTGAGTGGTAAATCTCACATCTAAATGTGAGAGAATGGGTCTATGTGGCAAGTGTGTACCATATAAAGAAAAATCCTGCAGAACGCAGTGAATAATGAGGAAAAAACTGCGACCATGTTTTTGGTTTAAAAGAGCGACTTTGCGGTGTATTTTCATATTATTTTTATGGTTGTATTCATGGTTTCTTGGTCTTGTTTGATACAATGGAAGATATATTACAGAAATAGAGATGATTTTGATTGGTTGTAGGACTGAAAATAGCTTGAAATTGAGCTCAAGCTAGAGGAAATGTTCAATTTTTGCTGATGTTCAGAAGTAAATAGATCACATCATGTGTCCAATATACGTCAATTGGTGGGTCTAATATGTGTTCATGAAGGTGCTGATATTATTTATTAAATTATTATAATATTGCATGACAGTAAATCTTCTACTTTTGTGTGTGAATAAAAATTCTGTGTGAATAAAAAAATGGAATTCATGTGTAAAGTCTGGTAGCATAACTACTGAACAGAGTAAATGTTATTTTAGTACCAGGAATGCCTGCATTGTTTATTCTGGACCATATTTTGAAAATTGTGGGAAATTGGACGAATTACCAATTTCTGATAACTTTATTGGGTAGTTGAAGTAGTTGATTGGGTATTTTCTTGTGGTCAGTCGCTAAAATGGAAGGTATATCAGTGAAATAGCTAAGAATTTGGTCAACTGGAACAATGTAATTGGCCAAAAATAGGAGTCATAGTGGGCAAAATCACCGGTATAAATATCGCTGACACAGCAAAATTTGCGATAGTGTAATTTTGTCAGTTTTCCATCAAATTTTGTACTTTTTTTTACTACCTTCAGAAAAGATTCCAAACCTTTCATAATAAAAATGAGATTCTTTTTTTTTTTTTTTTTAATTCTTGAACCCTGTGGACAAGTCTCAGATCGGGAGTCTGGACCCTCAAAGGGTTAACCCTTTCTCTGTCCAGAGCTCTAGAATTAAAGTTGTTCTCAGTGTCTATATTTAAAACAAAAAAAACTTAAATTAAAAGTACATTTTTCTGGTGGTAATAAAACGAGAAAAAATTCCCATCAGTACTTGCCAATATAGAGAGGTGTCAAGTTGAAGGTTGACGACCTGTTGATAGCAGCATCAGTGATTGCTGCACATGCTGCATTTTTCTCTTTTTATTAATTTGTAGTTTTCTGGGGTTTTCTGTTTTTTTTTGCATTTTTAAGTAACTTTTGTGGCCCGTGAGATCCATATCATGCACAATGTACATATATTCAGCCATTATTTGTAATGCAATTCCTACACTAATAGCATCATCAGTGCCTAATTTACAAAACATGTTTGCACAGCAACATAAATACACACCTGGAGTTTACCTGGAGAGGGTTTCAGGGGTCAATGCCCCTGTGGCTCGGTCTGAGACCAGGCCTCATGGTGGATCAGGGTCTGATCAGCCAGGCTGTTACTACTGGCCGCACATAAGCTGACGTACAAACCACAGCCCGGTTAGTCAGGTACTGACTCTAGGTGCCTGTCCAGTGCCTTCTTAAAGACAGCCAGGGGTCTATTGGTAATCCCCCTTATGTAGGCTGCGAGGCAGTTGAACAGTCTTGGACCCCGGACACTTATTTTGTTGTCTCTCAGTGTACTCATTGCACCCCTGCTTTTCATTGGGGGAATGTTGCATCTCCTGCTGAGTCTTTTGCTTTCGTAGGAGTTGATTTTCATGTGCAGGTTTAGTACCAATCCTTCCAGGACCTTCCAAGTGTGTATTATCATGCATCTCTCTCACCTGCGTTCCAGGGAATATGTCATGTGGGGTTCAAAACGTGGATGGGGGTAAGAACACACTTACCAGCGTCCAACTGGGAGCACAAAGCGATATAGGAGACAATACTTCAGTACTTAATGTACTTCAGTGGCCAGTGAAGGTAAGGGTACTACTGCCCCTGCTAATGGAGGTAAGCGCATTCTTGTGGTTGGTGACTCTCAGGTAAGATATATGGACCGTGCTTTTTGTAATAGGAATAAGAAGATGAGAGATAGAGTGTGCTTCCCTGGAGCTGGTGTTGGGGACATTGTCAACAGGCTGGATAATATCATGTCAGGTAATGGGAACAAGCCATTATCTGTCTCAGTGCTGGTGGAAATGATTTTGGGGAAGGGTAGGAGAGAAGAGCTGCTAGATAAGTACAGGTCAGCTTTTAGATTTCATTAAGTCTAAGGGAGGGATCCCAATCATATGTAGCATCTTGCCTAGAAGGGGAGTGGGAAAATTTGAATGGTTGTCTAGGGCAATTGGTGTAAATTGGGCAGACAATACTGCAAGGAATTGCAATCCCATTCATTGACAATGGAACAACTTTTATGGCAAACATGATATGTATGCAAGGGATGGGGTACATCTCTCTGGGGCTGGGGTGGTAGCACTTGCAGACTCGATTGAGAAGGCCATTGGTGAAATCCCTATGATTTTAAACTGATGGAAGTAGAGGTATGGGTTGGTGTGGGAAACAGCAGGTTGCAACATTTGGGGTTTGGGAAAAACAGTAATGTATAAAAGGCTTTTCAGCATGAAGTTATAAATAAAGACAATAGATCAGGTCAGCAGACAAGGGGGACAGCAGAGGGCAGCAAGGGACTAGCTCCCTTAAGGTTTACTATACTAATAGCAGGAGTGTAAGAAAAAAGATAGATAAAGCTAAGTTTAATTGCAAGTGCAGGAAACATAGATATTATTGCTAAAACAGGGGACCTGGCTCAATCTGAAAGATAGAGAGATGCCCTCTGAATGTCACATACAAGGCTATAAATTATTCCAACTGACAGGGTCAACAGGAAAGGTGGTGGATTTAGCGATGTATGTCAGAGAAAATTTAAATTGTTGTGTTAGACAAGATATTAAATTAGAAGCGTCAGCCACTGAATCTGTTTGGTTACAGCTTCTCGAGGGCGAGAAAAACTAATTTTGGGTTGTGATTTACAGGGCCCCAAATCTTGATAGGGAGTGCAGTAAACTTCTATGGACGAATTCGGAAGGCATCTACATACGAAAATGTTGTGCTAATGGGAGATTTCAACTATAGACAGATTGACTGGACAATTTGACAGGAAATTTAGAGTCAGGTGACTTTCTTGATACGATCCGGATTGTTTTTAAAACAGTTTGTGACAGAGCCAAAATAGGGGAAATACCTCCTTGACTTGGTTTTTTGCCAGTAGGGAAAAAACTAATTAATAATCTTGAGGTTAATGATGAGCTTGGGGAAAGTGATTTACAAATCGCTCAGTTTTAATATATCATGGAATTCCTAATAATGGTAATCAAGTCTCCGTCCCTGACTTTCGCTTGGCGATTTCATAGGACTGAAAAATTACTTAGGTGGGCTGAACTGGAACGACCTGACTAAGGGGGCAGGTTAGGTGGTGATGGTTGCCGATATGATGCTTTCCAGGGCATAGTTCTAGTGCTCAGTCAAATTATGTTCCAAAAAAGGGAAATCAGATCAAACAAAAATGATCCTAAATGGATGAACAATAGATTAAAATATCTGATTGGTCAAAAGAGAGGCATATATAGGCAAATCAAAAGAGGAGAGGGGCAATTGAGGGAAAACGATATATTCAGTTTAAAGAGAGAAATAAAAAAGGGAATTAGAAAAGCAAAAGAGATTATGAGGTTAAAGTTGCAAGAAATCGAGACTAACCCAAAGGATTCTTTCAGGTATACAGAAGTAAGATCAGGGACAAGATAGGCCCACTCAAAAGTTCCTCGGGTCAGCTCACTGACAGTATAAGGAAATGTGTAGAATTTTTAACACATACTTCCTTCAGTTTTTACACAGGAGGATACCAGCGTATTCCATAATGATAAATTATGTAGAACAGGACGATAAAAAACTGTTTCACTATTAGGGTCACAAGTGACATGGTCCTTAGGCAAATAGATAAATTAAAAAACCCAACAAATCCCCCGGCCCTGATGAACTGAGCAAGGGTTCTAAAGGAAAGTAAAGAGGAGCTTAGCACCCCTTTGGCTAATCTTTTCAACATATCACTACAAAAATGGCATTTGGGGCCAGATAAATGGAAAAAGGCAAATGTGATACCTATTTTCAAAACAGGTGACAGGTCCTTGCATCGAACTATAGACCAATAAGCCTAACCTCCATAGTGGGAAAATTTTTGGAATCAATAATTGCCGAGGCAGTTTGTAGCCACCTTGGGAAAAAAATAATTAATCAACGAATCTCAGCTGGTTTTACAAAGGGGCATTCCTGCCTTACGAATTTATTAACTTTTTCACTAAGGTTTTGAGGGCTAGATCATGGTAATGAATATGATATTGTGTATATGGACTTCAGTAAGGCTTTTGACAGGGTCCCACATCAGAGACTATTGAGGAAAAATTTTAAAAGCACATGGAATAGGAGGAGAAATTTTTTCCTGGATAGAGGCATGGTTGACAAATAGGCAGCAGAGAGTTTGCATAAATGGGGAGAAATCAGGGGTGGGAAGTGCATGAGCGGTGTTCCACAGGGTCAGTGTTGGGCCCCTGCTGTTCACATCTACATAAACGACATAGATGAGGGCATAAAGAGCGACATCGGAAAGTTTGCCGTTTGGACACCAAAATAGGCCGTCGAATTCATTCTGACGAGGACATTCGAGCACTCCAGGAAGATTTGAATAGACTGATTTCAGTGGTCGGAGAAGTGGCAGATGCAGTTTTTAAAAAGACAAATGCAAAGTTCTAAAAAGTTGGACAGGACAATAACCATGCCACATATAAA